AAAGATTGTCATTATTATCCACTTAGGTGGATCTGACAGTACAAAGTTATAACCACCAGTGCAGCTATTTCTCCCCCATTTCCTGCATTGTGGTAGGATTAGAAATAAAAAAAATGCCTTACCCACCCCTGATCAAGTTGGGATAGTAAGATTCTCTCTTGGAAATGTGACATTGGTGGGAGCTGAATGATGGCAATGCTGGTTCCTAAGATGGAAGTCTCTTGGAGAGAATGTCTGTTAGTTCCTGCTGCTAGGTAGTCAGGTCACTTTTACTCTTGCTCTTTCTTTTTTAAAATTATTTTAAAAAATTATTATTCTTATTTTTTAAACATTCAATTGCTATACATCATTTGGCTTGTAAAGAGTATTTACCCAACATGAAATATACCTCAGACCAGTCCAGTTGAGAAAACTATACACATTATTATCACCAGGCAATAAACCATTTCTGTGTCCCACAAATGTCTTGCCTCTCTATTTTTTTTCTTTTCTTTCTTTTTTTTTTTTACACTCTTTATTAGCTCAGGTTACCCAGAGTACATGAAAAAGAGAAAATACCACAAAGCAATATAGCACTGTAAAGAACCAACTCAGCAAATCCTCCACTGGGATGAAACCTCTTAAATTTTATGGTAGCACATAACACTGTACAGTGAGCACTCATGGCTCCAAGAGATTTCCTCCAAATTGTAAGGAATTTCCAGGAATAACTAGATTTGCTACAGTCTGGTCCTCTGCCCATGGCAAGGAGGGGAAGGGCAAAGCTCCTTCATAACTTGTAGATCCAGTCTTGAGAACAGTTCTTGTAATCCACTAGTTCCTCAGCGTGAAACAAGTCAGTCTCCCACTTTGCACTCTCCAGGGAATCACTGTCATGAATAATGTTCCTGCAAACTTGGATGCAAAAATCTGCTCAGACGGTCCCAGGTTTGGAGTCCACAGGGTTGGTCTCCCTGAGCATCACTTATCAGTCTTCACAAAATCCAGCCTCTCCCAGACCATGGCAACCACTGGCTCTGAATACAAGCATTTTACCAGGCCAGCAAAGAATGGATAGTCCTTCAGGAATACCCATTGTTGAGGCAGTGTTCCTTGAGAAAATCTTTAGAAGCATGCATGAATTTCATGCCAACAAGGCAGAATACCTTCTGCTCAAAATGCTTGATGATCTCCACACAAGGTCCTGCTGGATCCCATTGGGCTTGATGGCAATGAAGGTGGATTTGCTGTTGGCCATGGTCCCTCAACAGCTGTTGGCCATAATCCCCAACTTCAACTTCTGTTGCAGTCTTCCTGACTATTTTTTCCTCCCTGATTTCCTTCCCTATACTCTTCCCCTCTTACACTCTCCTTCCACACAGTCTTAGTGTCCATAACTATTTTTGCTGCTTTTATGTCCTCCAATCTTTCAATCTTTCATAGCCTGGGTTGCTTCACTAAGCAATAAATCTTTTGTATTTGACCACTTTCTATCAAATGCCAGGGTCTTTTTTTATATCTGAATAGTATTCCATAGAATATATGTGCCACCCTTTTTCAATTCATTCATCTGTTTGTGGACATTGAGATTGGTACCATGGCTTAGCAACTGTGAATAATGCCACAATAAATATTGATGTGCAAGTGCTTTTCTGACTGCTGCTCTTGCTCTTTCTAAGGCATAAGGTTTTTTAACCTTTCTTTCACTCTATTAACTACCCCATAACCTTCCTCCTTCTACTTCTCCCCTTTCTGTCCTTTGCTCTAAAGATTGTCAGAATCTGTTTCTATTTCTTGCAAACCATGTATCCTATAATCTATATGCCAGAAACCCATAGGATTAATTACATTGAACTAGAAAGAGGAAGGATACGTGGCTTCGAAAATAGATATAGGGCCTTTTGGTGGCATGGTGGTTAAGATGGATGGATCACACATGGCTCACTACATAGTTCGAAACTTGGATCTGGTGGCTCAAGAAATATGCCAGTCATGTGTGCCCAAAGTCCTGAGAAGAGAAGGGAGGAAAAAGGACTGTAGTATGGCTATCCCCCCTGGGGGGTGTTTTTGTACTTTTCCTTTATCCATCTTTCTCTCTGTTTCTCCAGTAAACACAAGTGCCCTATAACAAATTAAAAAATTTCTAGATTGGCATATCGCACAGTCCCACAAATTATTAGAAAAGCCACACAGAAGAAGACACCTCTACAGTTTCTATAGATTCCTGATGATGGCCAGTCACCAGGACGCTTGGACCACATGTGTTGACTGGGGTAGACAGAGGCAGAGATGCCAATTACACTCATCTCCACTGGACCTTTTGCCGAAACACTGGGGTCCTTTAACACATGCTCAGAGAGCAGAATGCTGTCAGAGAGCCTCTCACCTATTACTGCCAAACACTTTTTATTTCAAAGCTTTCCTCATTGAGAAACAATCCCATTTTTTTGCTTTGATAAAGCCATCCAATTTGTCTAAAGAAATGAATCTTAAAAGTCGACTTGGATGAAAGCAATTTCAAATGTCTGAAGGGCTGACCTTGGCAGTCATGTAGAACACTTCCTGCCTGGCTTTTGAGAACTTCATTAAAAAGAAAAGATAAACTTGTACATCATAATCTCTTGAATCTCTATAATGATGAACAAAGTCTCTATCGCTCAGAACCAGGCTTATGTTCCCTTGACTAATTTCAAGTTTTCAATATATGTTTTTATTATCATTCATACAGCTATGTTAAATTTACTAATAACAATTTATCTCTTTAAATGACTGCTGCTTTTGGGGCCATTTATTAGCTGGGATATCTGGAAGACCAAGCGTGCTTAATTAAATTGGAGGAGGACATCAGTCTATACTGAGTAGCCAAAACCTTATTCTCAAATGCTTCCCCTGCCTCTTCCCTTTCTCAGGAGGGAAATATTTTGGATGAGGATTCAGACCCCTCCTGGGGACCAGAACACTTCAATGGGTAATGGACAATAAATAAATAAATAAGTAAAAGAAGTAGTGTTTCAAAGTGGAAATTGAGACTTTTACTTCTGAAGGCACATTTTTTTTTTTTTTCTCTAGGGTGCGTGCGCTTGCCAGACAGAGAGAGAGAGACAGAAAGTGAGAAATCACCCACCGGGGGGATGGCCACGCCGCAGTCCCTTCTCCTCTGTTCTCCTCTGGAGATCTTGGGCATGCATGCACATGGGGGTGGTATGAGTTTTAAGCCACTGGGTCCGGGACGCAAACTGCGGTCGACTACATGGGAGTCCAGTGACATAGCCATTACGCTAACTGCTGATCCCTGAAGGCACACTTCTTTAAGCTGGGAGTTCAGTTGTATTATGGAAGCTAGATTCTCTGAGTCAGTGCTAAGACATCAAGTTTTCCCTGGCAGGGCATTCAGCTAATTGGAGTTCCCATCCTTTTCCCATTTTCCCAAGGCACTGTTTCAGGGTTCTAAGTGCAATGAGGCTGTGTGCTGTCATAGGCCCCTCTTGCCACGTGGGAACACACTTGTCATTTGAGGAGCAATTGGTGCTTGATTCTGCACTTTGAATGAGGGGAGTGGACAGCTTTCTCCACACTTGGTTGTGTGGCATATCTACTAGATGTGTTAGGATAGTCATCCCTTCATAGATTACTCACTTTTCAGGTTAGCTGATTTACTAAATGTGTAATTACTATTTTATTTTTCTACCTTTGCATGTATGTTCATTGAAATGACTTCACAAGTCAGAATCAAATAATTTGAACATATTTTCTCATCTGAAAAATGTTATCACTGAGCTATGGAATATTCTAAGCCAAAAGGCAGAAAGAAAGTGAAATATCAGGCCAAGGATTTAAAGGAACTAAATTCAAATCAACTTATTTGCAAAAACATCTCTAATTCAATGTTTGATGCTTGCTATTATTTGAATGTGTTCCCCATAAACACAGGTGCCAAAACTGGGTGAGTCATTGTAACAGGGATGAGAGAGTAGAGACTTAATCTAATTGTGGTGTTGAAAGGTGGGGCCTTTGGGTGGTGATTGGAATTGGATGAGTTCATCAGGGTAGGATTCCATGATTGACTCCTGGCAACTTTGTGAGCAAATACACAACCCTTCTCTTTCTCTGTCTTGCCATGTGATACCCTGAGCTGCCTTGGAACTCCACAGAGAGTCCCCACAAACAAGAAGACACTCACCGGATGTGGCCCTTTTATCTTGGCCCTCAAAAACTAGGAGTTGAATAAGCCTTCTTGTTTTTTTAATTTTCAAATTTTTGCCAAAAGGTGTGTGCACTGACTGGAGAGAGATAGAGACAAAGACACACAGACACACACACACACACACACACACACACAAACAGAGAGAGAGAGAGAGAGAAGGAGAGCAAAAATCTCCCATAGGGCATGGTCATGCTGCAACCTCTTCTCCTCCATTTCTTCCTCTTTTAGGGATTTTGGGCATGTATATACATGAGCTATAGCGTTTCTCAAGCTACTAGGTCCAAGATTTGAACTGTGCTGCCAACCATGAGGGATTTATCCACCTTAATCATCACAACATGGGCTGACCCAAAGCTATATTCCTGATAAGTCACCTAGACTTAAGTATTTCTGTTATTAGCAACCACAAATGGACTAAAGCAATGCTCCTAATTATTAATCAAAAAGTCAATAATTAATGTGCAAGAAAATGTACCTAATGTTATAGTATGGGCTTATCAAAAATAAAAGTTTAAAAATAAAATTTCTTCATAAATTTTCAGGGTTGTAATCAACAAGGGGTAGGTGAAGGCTCAGCACCTACTTTGAGCCCAGATCTTAAACTGAGATGAAATTCAAACCTAGATCTGTCTTTCTGTATAGCTTGTGCTCCTAGCTTCTTGGCTATATTCTTTCCCAAAGAAAGAAAGGGCCAATAAAACTCAAAATATACCCAGCCAAAGACACAATGATGATGATCATCATCATTCTAGTGCTGGGTT